GACAGACTAGACTCCACCCCTTCACTATTAATCCTCTCAAGTCCCAAATTGACGGCAGATTATGTAACTACCAGAAATATTAATGATATTGTTCTATAATTTAGGCATTCTGTTGGGTCACCATTCTTTGGAATGGGTGTGTGTTAGGCAGGGTTCTCTAGAGAAATGAAACCAAGACATTTATGATTTTATATCTATATGGATAAGTTTATATTGTGAAAAGGAATACAACAGCAAATTAATTCACACAGCTGTACAGATAGCTCAGTCCAACTCACTTTTTTAGGACAGTCAATATACTGGAGGTCCTCCCAACTCATGCCGGCCACTGATCCAAGGTCAGGGAAGCAGGCAGCAGGAAGATGAGGCATCAAGGTGGCTCAGAGGCCAATAGTGCAGCATAGCAAAATAGGTCAAGGTGGAGCCTCAAGGTGTAGCGATGAGAAGTGGCTGGCAGGAGGTGCAGTGGCATATAGAGTGATGGCAAGACAAGTGGAGTCAGCCCACAGGCAGCAGACAGCAAGGCGGGGTGGCACCATGGCATGGAACAGCAACCACAGTGATGCGGTCCACCACAGTCCATGGATTGGCTCGACCCCCAGGTAACACAATACACATGTAGAGGCAGGGCAGCTAACTGAGGAAGACAACTAAATCAGACAGCATGCTAGTCCAACCACCAGGGAAAAAGAGGAAAGGGCCAGCCTCGAAAGCCATTTATCTCAGTCACACCTCCAAGAGGTCATCAAGCTGCAACCTGACTGACTGGCTAAACTCCACCCATATGTTCCTACGGGTGCCATGTTGGGGCACACAAACACACACACACACACACACACACACACACAAACTATCACAGTCCACCCCTTGCCAACTTGGCATTTGTACACAATTCTTTAGCCACATATAATTTCTAGACCTTAGTGAAATCATACTTCCACCTAATGTCATATACCTAGCATACATATAAATGAAAACACACTGAACCATTTGTATCTGGTATATTACACATGAACAAGACAAAGATATTCAATAAGCACATATAAAAAAGAAATAGAATCACAAACTTCACCTTTGCAATTGATCACGTGGTCGTAACTGATAGGTAGAACTACCTTTCTCCACTACCCATTCTGTATTCCCTTTGCCCTCAGCCAGCACCTCAGTTGGTCATGGTTCTTTGCCAATAGCCAGGATTCATAAGTCCAGGAACCAAGGGGTGGAACCTAGAGTGGCATCACTCACTATTACTCCTAGTGATCCACTTGCAGCATTTTTGCTTCCTGTACAAGCAACCCTATGTTCCTCAGGCCTGGAGGTCCTGGTCCCAAAGGAAGAAGTGCTCCCACCTTGAAAGACAGTGCTGATCCATTGAACTGGCAGCTAAAAATGCTCCCTGACCACTTAGGGCTCCTCATGCCTTTGGATCAAGAGGTAAAGAAGGGTGTCACTGTACTCAGTGGTGTGATTGATCCTGACTACCAAGGGTAAATTGGATTGGATGTAAAGAAGAATATGTCTGGAATCCAAGAGATTTCTGTAGGTCATCTCTTAGTACTACCATGCCCTATGATTAAAGTAAATGGTAAACTACATCAACCCAAGTCTGAAAGGACTGCTAGTGACCCAGACCCATCAGGAATGAAGGTCTGGGTAACCCCACCAGGCAAAGAACCTCTTTATCACCAATTTTCCCATCATGTTCCTTCCAATTACCTGACCGTCCAGCCAAACCATTAGCCACAGCCCATGAATTGGCCATTTCTCCTTCCAGGCAAATTGTATGGCCAGGTGCACTGCTCAAAGTTCTGCCCATTGGGAGGATTTCCCTTCACCATGGTTCTTCAGGGAGATCCCAGAAAGGGTCTGTAGTGTTGCTGATTTCCACTTATCCAGTGGTGCCTGCTTATGAAGCAAAGCCATGAGTAAACCAAGCATGAGCTTTCTGTTCCTCAGTCAACTCCCCAGGAGGACATAGGTGCAGCCTGCAAGAAGGAAGGTACCGTGGCAGGAGTGGAGACCGTAGGCATTTGGGCCGCTTCTTTATGCAGCTTACTTTTACCCAGCCCAATCTTGTATATACCACTTCCATTCAACAATGGAGTGCTGCTGCGCACGTCCATCTTTATGACTTTGCTGGTCAGATGATACTCAGTTCATGATGGGCAGCTCAGGCCGCATGGTGACTTGGTGGCCCATGGTGAGATGTTCAGTCTCCACTACGGCCCAGTAACAGGCCAAAAGCTGTTTCTCAAAAGGGGAGTAGTTGTCTGCAGAGGATGGCAGAACTTTACTCCAAAATCCCAAGGGTCTGCGCTGTGATTCACCAATAGGAGCCTCCCAAAGACTCCATACTGCATCTCCATCTGTAACTGACACCTCTAGCACCATCGGGTCAACTGGATCATATGGTCCCAGTGGCAAAGCAGCTTGCATGGCAGCCTGACCTGTTACAGAGCCTTTTCTTGTTCTGGGCCCCACTCAAAACTGGCAGCCTTTCACATCACTTGATAAATAGGTCGGAGTAGCACACACAAATGAGTGATATGTTATTTCCAAAATCCTAAAAGACCTAGTAGGCATTGTGCCTCCTGT